TATATATATATATTAGAAATAAATCAACGTGTTAATTAATATATTTCAAAATTTAAAAATAAATTGTTAAATAATTGTTTTATTTTTATTTTATTTACCTCTTTGGATTAGCCTTTTCCTTTTTGTGTGTTAGCATCTTGTAACGAGCTACATTTGCAGGATAACGTGATATATGTAAACCATGAGCTTTTATACGGTTAGCCATGTCGTCGTCCTCACCACCCCAACCCCAGAAGACATTGCTGAACCCGTTGACCAGCTTGAAATGTTCTCGAGACATTGCAGAAACACCACCGAAAAGATCAGCGTATGGTAGCCTTGAAAAAACATTATTATTATTATTATTATTTTTTTTTTAACATTTTATATAGTAGTGTCAGTGTTTTACAAAACTTTTACTCAAGCATGAACTATTTGTTTAATTTTATTTCAATTTAAATAATTGGGACTTTTTATTATTAAACTAAAAAAAAATTAAAAAAACAAACGATTAATTATGTTTATTATGATTATACTAATTAATACTGTCTTTTTATATTAATTTACTTTATATTCAATTTTTATTTAATATCATATTAAATTATATTATTATTAATTACATTAAAATAAATAAATTATATCAAATAAATTAAAATATTATATTGTTTAATTAATATTACAATAATTTAATAATCAATTATAAAATACAAAATGAATAAATGAAATCACGCACAGCATGTAATTAAAAACTTTCTTATCAAAAGATGAACATTTTATCCGGAAATATTATAATATACTTGTTTGTGTGTGTGTGTGTGTGTGTGTGTGTATGTGAATATAACACACGGTTTGCATTACATTACAGTAATTTGTGGTAAAAATCAATTTGAGATAATGAAGATCTAATAGAGAGTTGTTATAAAGTACGATCATACAATTACTACAGTTAGTTACATAACGAGTTAATGATGCGTTAATTAATAATGGTAACGATTATTTATCTTTCCCCTCTTCCTACCCCTTTGACAACCCCCACCTACTCTTTTCCTTCATTAAAACGAAATTATTATCCTTCATAGCTTCGGTAAGTTATAATTATGTTGCTTGAGAATGAAATCGTGTGTTTCACGATATTATATATTTATTAAATTCATAAACAAAATAGCTTTGTAATCCTTATTAAATTGATATTTCAATCAATATTGTTCATTTAAAAATGTTGAAAATAAATATCAAATATATTAAAAAAAAAAAAAAATCAAGAAACATAAAAAAAAACATGTGTTCATAATTGCACAAGTTAGAAGTGAAACCTTCAAATAAAACATGTTTCGAGGATAATTTATTATATAATATTATTTGTACTTTTAATTTGTAATTATTTATTTAATTATTAATTTAATTAGAAAAATACGCGGCGCCTGTTCGTATGCAACCCTCCAGACACACTTTGAAAATGTTGCTTACGAATGCCATCTACTGGGACGGAATTTTTTTCCAGTTAAAACTGTTTATACACGTTTGTATGACGGGTTGCTTATCTTTCGGGCAGAACAAAAATTTCGCTCTTAAGTAACATTTTCAAAGTGTGTCTGGTGGGTTGCATTCATACAGGCCCCGCGTACTTTTATAATAATTACAAAGAAAGTAAATAATGAAACACTTGAAAACATGTTTACACAAATCAAATATTTTTATAAATAATGATAAAAATTGAACTGTAATATTCTAATGTATCTAATACACATCACCGCGTTTCATTTTTTTTCAAATCACACCCATTCTAAAGTAGTTTTCACTTCAAAAAAAAAAAAAGAAAAAAAAAAGTGAAATAAATTAAATGTAAAAATAAAAAAATGATCATACTTGTATCTGAATTTATCAACGGCGACTGACATGTGCCTGGGTTGTTCCGGACAGGTATACAAATTTCTATCGTCTTCCGGAAGTAAATCGACGTCGTGGAAAATGAAACAATCGAAGGTTCTTTCCTTCAATGCTTCGACGTAACCAACGTTCATCAACATCGCACGATTAAACGCGCCGGTACCTGAAACCAATCAATCAAAACAAAATACGTTATTAATAAGATGAAAATCAGAATAATAATAATAATAATAATAATATACACGAAGTAGATGAAAATGAGATAAAAGGAAAATAAACAAAAAACTAATATTAATATTAAAATTAAAATAATTTTTTTAAAGGGTATAAGAGGAGAGTAGATAAAATAAAAGGGATGAGAGGGTTGTGGGTGATAATTCAAAGATCTTAATTTTAAAATTACAATTAAAATTAAAATTAAGATGATTTTGTGAAAGGTATATAGGTAGATAGAATAAAAGGGGGGTGGGGGGTGGATGAAGGGTTGGTAGTTCAAGGATTTTAATTCTTAGATGTTCTTGAAGAAATGGCAAAAAAAAAAATATGAAATGAAAAAACAAAAGAAGAAATTCCAATTTTATAATTAAAAAGTTTTCATTGTAAAACATATTATCAAAGTAATGTGAACGAGAAATAAAAAGAAAAAAGAAAAATATAGAAGAAAGATAGATAAGGGGATGGTTGTGGGAAAATACTGGGAACATTGATTCTACGAGAAAGATAAAATGTCTAAAATAGAAATAGAAATAGAAATAGAAAGAAAGAAAGAAAGAAAGAATGAAATAAATAAAAGCAAAAAAAGGAGATATTTTTGAAATGTAGGCCATCCCTGTGTGTTGAGATGTTTCCGATAAGTTTTCTTTTCTTTTCTTTTCTTTTTTCCTTTTTTTTTTTTTAATTTCTATCTTTTTCCTTCAATCCTATTTTCATTATCTTTCTCCTTTTGTTAGTTTTCAGAAATCATTTTTATCTATTTTCTAACCATTTATTTGTCTCTTGGTATCTTAACGTACGAGATACACGAAAAACGACTAAAAAAAAAAGAAAAAAAAAAAAAAGGAAAAAACGAGGTTAGGAGTAGGTAGCAATCTAGGGTGATCTTTCGTGGTATGTAAAGTGCAAGTTGCAGTTGCACCAGCATCCCCCCTCTCCTCAGCCCCCTTTCCTACCCTTACGTGAGAGATTAATCGACCCAGTTAGACATACCTAGCACTTTTGTGCTCTCTATGTCTGAAGAGCTTACCTCAAAAACTTTCCACGAGTGCTTTCTACTTTTCTTTCCTTTTTTTTTTCTTTCTTACTTACATTTTTTACTTACTTCTTTTTTTTTTTTTAGGAGGAAGGGGTAGGTTCTGTTTTTTTTCTTTTTTTTTTTTTTCATTTTTCATTTTTGTCATAAATTTTATATACGTACAAGTAGCCTTACATTGCAACACGGTTTTATCTTTAACGTGATAAGAAAATGATGACAAACTTTTGTATGACAATGTACTTTTACATATGTTGGAATGTAACATGATTATTTTTTGTTGTTTAATATTTATATTTAAAAATTTTCATTATTTTATACTCATTACTGTGTTTAATAGAAGAATTAGAAATATATATATATATATTAATTATTATATAATATAATTATTAATAATAATATTATAATATAATAAATTAATAATAATAATAATAATAATATATATATTATTTATTATATTATATTATATTTATTATTTTTATATTTATTATATCTTATAGTTAATTTTTAACATATAATTTAATATATTATCTATATAGTATTATTATATTATACTATATAATAATAATAATAATAATAATAATAATAAATTTTAATTAATATGAAATAATGCATATATATTACATATATTACATATATCACATACATTATAATATAGATTATGTTATGTTAATATAAACAAGTTATAAATATAACTATTTATAAACTTGTTTTAATTCTAGTGTACTGAAAAACCATACCTGAAATTATACCCGCATAATGTTGAAACACCTTATATATATATATATATATATATTTTCTTTTATCTTTAAAAGTTAATATATAATACAAAATACTGACAAAGTTAAATATTCTCATTTTATTTTCTTATTTTACTGTCAGTGACTTAACGTTGATAACAAAAAAAAGAAAAAAAAATGGTGAAAATATAAGAAGGTTTTTAACGAATGATCGTTCAAACTATAATTCACACCTTTCGAGTCTTCTCCTTTAAAAGTAATCCATAATGCCATGCTTGTGTATAAAATAAATCTTACTGTATACACGAGGTCTTCTGATTTATATCGATAGAGCAGGACACAAAATGCGATAAAAGACTAAAGAAGAAGAAGAAGAAGAAGAAGAACGGATTCCTATATATATATATATATATATATATATATATATATACATAAATGTATACATATATGTATATAGATGTGATTTTTCGTTCGTCCAGTTCAATAGAGAAACAAGGACCATGATCTTTATGGGAAGTGTGTCCCAAGAGAATCGATCAATTTACATATATCGACTTTGTTGATGGTCTCGACTGTATTATAATAATAAAATAAAAAAATGTAAAAATTATAATATTATAATAATTATAATACGTTAAAAAAGAAAAGTGTACAGTAAATGTAACAACGGCGGGATTTGATATTTGCGGTCAATGAACTTTCGAGTTTCTAATGCCAATTAATAATAATAATAATAATAANAATAATAATAATAATAATAATAATAATAATAATAATAATAATAATAATAATAATAATAATAATAATAATAATAATAATAGTATAGTAAATGTATTTCATTTAACTTAACTTTTAAATTTTATTCAACTAAATAAATTAATTTGAGTTAATTTAAATAATTATTATTGAATTATTTAATATTTAATATTATATTATTTATATATTATTATTTAGATAACTAATTTTATTTAATTTACCATAAAATTTATTTTCCCTTTTGTTTCTTATATTTATCTTTACACTTCATTTCTTTTATTAAAATCCTCAAAAACTATTTTTCAAAATGGCCTACTTTAGATACCAATATTTGAAATGATACGTTACGTACACCTCGAAATTTATTATATTATTATATTAATGGATAATGCATGTATTAGAAAAAATACATTAAAAGTTTCCATATATTTTATAAACTAATATATACTTTTATATCAGATAAATATGATTTATAAAATATAGTATAGATAAACTTATATATATATATATATATGTATACGAAACATATAACCTCAAAGTTGTTGGATGTTATATAGCAATTTAATCACGCGATTCCATTTAGATGCTATTTCTAATATATTTCTCTCTCTCTCTCTCTCTCTCTCTCTCTCTTTCTCTCTAATGAATTTTCTCTATAGTGAAGTAACAAGTTCGTTCAATCTCCATCGATTAGAAATAAATATCCAGAGAGTGTATATGTGTGTGTGTGTGTGTGTGTGTGTGAGAGAGAGAGAGAGAGAGAGAGAGAGAGAGAGAGAGAGAGAGAAAGATAAATTCTTGAAATTCCTATTAATAGACGAATGTATATGGCTAATAATTAATCTTCGATATTAACCAATACGATTCGGTATATAAATCGTTAATTAATTAATAAAAACAAAAAAACAAAAATGTGATTTCAAATTAAATCAAATTAATTTTATAATAATAATTAGAAATATTTTGTGATTGGTTTTGGAATATTACGTTTGAGATGAAATTTCGATTAAATTAGATACTCGTTTAGCACGTTTAACGCATCCCTATTAGTTATATATAATATATAGTTAATGTAATTAGTTATAATTAAGTGTTAATAAGAAAAAAAAAAGGAAACTAAGATAAAAAACAAAACTTTGCTTTTTTTCCTACGAATTGAATAAAATAAAAAAAATAAAAAAATAAATAAATAAATAAGTACAAATAAATCGGATGAAGTTTCGATTAACAAATGAAATCCAATATAAAATAATTAATACGATAAATGGAATAACAACATTTCCAATGATCAAAAGATTTATTTATTATTCTCAACCTACCAAAGTTCCTACCCCTTATATCCTACCACCACCATCACCAACACCACCACCACCACCACTACCACTACCACCACTACCACCCCTTTATCCTATCACTCTTTTGCTCTAGTACACTCATCTTTATTTCCTTTTTCAAAGAAATTATTCACTACCGTTAGCAATTATGTAAAAGCAAAGTATTCGGTGTGTCCGACTACACTACTACTACTACTACAACTACTACTACTACTACTATTAATACTAATACTAATACTACTACAACTACTATTAGTACTGGCTGTTGCTAGGCTCTTTAATCACGGATCTTCCTAGTAGACTTTTCAAAAGGGATGAAGAAGACAGACAGTTCGAAATGGAAGGAAGAAAGGTACGAAAGGAAGGAAGGAAGGAAGGATTTGAATTTCAAAGTAGTTGCAGGATGAAACTACAACGTTCGGACCATTTGAGACAATTAAAGACTCGTTAAAGGTATTCTCTATAACAATAAGAATAAATATTAAATATCATTCACAGTTGTTAGACTGACATGTAACAGATAATATTATCAATAATAATAATAATAATAATAATAATAATAATAATAATAATAAAAATAATAATAATGTAATGTAAAGTTCAGATCAAAATCATCGTATGAATCAATGTTGTTTCTTCGAGATACTTTTGTGTTGCACGATTATATGAATTATTATTATATCTTCAAATATTTATTATAGTAACAAATGTTATTGTATATATTATAATATATTAATAATATTATAATTAATTATAATAATATAATATTATAAATTAATATATATAATAATATTATAATATAT